CGTAGCACTCCTCAAACCGCACTCACTGAAAAGCAGCCCCCCCATCTTTTCCCTGTGCCCCCCCATCAATGATCTCCCCCCATCAGTGACCCGTGCCCCCCAAACAAAAGGGTCTTTTCCCCAACAGGGCTGTTCCCCCCCATCAGTGATCTCCCCCCATCATGGGCGTGCCCCCCATTTGTGATCCTTTCCCCCCATCAGTGGCCCCGGCCCCCCAACAGTGATCTCTTCCCTCCCCCCATCAGTGACTGTGCCCCCCACCAGTGATGTGACCCCCATAGTGATCTCCTCCCATCAGTGACTGTGCCCCACATTCAGATGATCTCCTCCCACTCAGTGACTGTGCCCCCCCATCAGTGATCTCCCCCCATCAGCTGATTTAAATTTATAGGGAGATGGCCCAATGAGCACTCATCTCCGCCCCAATAGGACTGATAAGGATCACATGAATGGGGGGGTGAAATGGATTCTCAAACAGACCAGACACAGATTACAGTCATAAAACGGTAATAAGATGTTAATGTTCTATTTACACCTAGTAACCCCCGTCATGTCCGTCCTCTTCCTCCATAGTCCTCTCCGTCCTCTTCCTCCATAGTCCTCTCCGTCCTCTTCCTCCATAGTCCTCTCCGTCCTCTTCACTCCATAGTCCCCTCTCCGTCCTCTTCCTCCATAGTCCTCTCCGTCCTCTTCCTCCATAGTCCTCTCCGTCCTCTGCTGCCATAGTCCTCTCCGTCCTCTGCCGCCACAGCTCCTCCTCTGCCGCCACAGTCCTCCCTCTGCCGCCACAGTCCTGTCCGTCCTCTGCCGCCACAGTCCCTGTCCGTCCTCTGCCGCCACAGTCCTGTCCGTCCTCTGCCGCCACAGTCCTGTCCGTCCTCTGCCGCCACAGTCCTCTCCGTCCTCTGCCGCCACAGTCCTCTCCGTCCTCTGCCGCCACAGTCCACTCCGTCCCACTTCCTCCATAGTCACTGTGACGTCTTCTATCTCCAGCAGATAATAATACACATCAATATTTAGAAGGACACAAGGATCTCTACAAGGACGTCATGATGGACAATCAGCCGCCCCTCACATCACCGGGTAAGAGGAGACTTTACTTGTAAAGGAGAGAGCAGTACGGAGGATCCACCTAGATCCCCCATCATCTGATAAAACACATAGAAAACAATGGATTCAGTCAGTGTGTGTGTTTCCTACAGATGGATCCAGTCATGGGAACCCACCAGAGAGAGATGTCCCCGTCCTCTGTATTCCCAGGATTCCACACAGGAAGGTCACACCATCCCTCCCCATCATCAGGTAAGATGATGACAATTATTGCTAGTTGTGAGCATTATACACAGCATGTTGTGGTTACAATGAAAGTGTTTTATTATAGGTCTTTCAGAGTGGAATCCTCGGGGATGATAATATTGATGTTAAAGAAGAGTTATAAAGTGGAGGATGAGGAGGTATGGAGTGATGGAGGGAATTTTTCAGAAGGACACAAGGATATGATGGAGCCACCTAATACCAGGTGAACCACCAGAGAGAAGTCCCCGTCCTCTGTAGATTCCCGGGGGGTGGGATTCCAACACAGGAAGTTATACGGTCACACCACATCCCTCAGTATTGACAAGGTTGGTGGGGCAGAGAGTATGGACTTGGGACAATATATGGATTTTTTATGTGAGTTTATATTTTACAGGTGACCTCTTCTATCATTTTCTTTGATTAGAGAGTGAAGATCTGCTAGACATCAAAGTTGAGGTGAAGCAGGAAGAAGAAGAGGCGTATGTGACGGGGATGATCAGCAGTCTATGGAGGAGGATGGATGATAATAACGGGGACATTTATAGAGGAGGACACACTCCTACAGAGATCAGCACAGGTGGGTCATGAACACTAAATCCATTCCTCCACCCATATGCTCAGTGCCTGATTGGAAAAACATATCCTTCTTGACCCCCCCGAGAAGGCAATCGGATATTCCCTGGATCAACTTTCCCTATAAATGTTATATCCAGTTATAATTCTGTGTAATCCAAAGAAAGAATCCAGTTGCAAAATGAACTTTGGAGATCATATCCCCCTTATGTATTATACATGGAGATCATATCCCCCCTTATGTATTATACATGGAGATCATATCCCCCCTTATGATTATTTACATGGAGATCATATCCCCCCTTATGTATTAATACATGGAGATCATATCCCCCCTTATGTATTATACATGGAGATCATATCCCCCCTTATGTATTATACATGGAGATCATATCCCCCCTTATGTATTATACATGGAGATCATATCCCCCCTTATGTATTATACATGGAGATCATATCCCCCTTATGTATTATACATGGAGATCATATCCCCCCCTTATGTACTATACATGGAGATCATATCCCCCCTTATGTATTATACATGGAGATCATATCCCCCCCCTTATGTATTATACATGGAGATCATATCCCCCCTTATGTATTATACATGGAGATCATATCCCCCCCTTATGTATTATACATGGAGATCATATCCCCCCCTTATGTATTATACATGGAGATCATATCCCCCCCCTTATGTATTATACATGGAGATCATATCCCCCCTTATGTATTATACATGGAGATCATATCCCCCTTATGTATTATACATGGAGATCATATCCCCCCTTATGTATTATACATGGAGATCATATCCCCCCTTATGTATTATACATGGAGATCATATCCCCCCCTTATGTATTATACATGGAGATCATATCCCCCTTATGTATTATACATGGAGATCATATCCCCCCTTATGTATTATACATGGAGATCATATCCCCCCCCCTTATGTATTATACATGGAGATCATATCCCCCCCTTATGTATTATACATGGAGATCATATCCCCCCCCTTATGTATTATACATGGAGATCATATCCCCCCTTATGTATTATACATGGAGATCATATCCCCCCTTATGTATTATACATGGAGATCATATCCCCCCTTATGTATTATACATGGAGATCATATCCCCCCCTTATGTATTATACATGGAGATCATATCCCCCCCCTTATGTATTATACATGGAGATCATATCCCCCCTTATATGTATTATACATGGAGATCATATCCCCCCCTTATGTATTATACATGGAGATCATATCCCCCCTTATGTATTATACATGGAGATCATATCCCCCCTTATGTATTATACATGGAGATCATATCCCCCCCTTATGTATTATACATGGAGATCATATCCCCCCTTATGTATTATACATGGAGATCATATCCCCCCTTATGTATTATACATGGAGATCATATCCCCCCTTATGTATTATACATGGAGATCATATCCCCCCCCTTATGTATTATACATGGAGATCATATCCCCCCTTATGTATTATACATGGAGATCATATCCCCCCTTATGTATTATACATGGAGATCATATCCCCCCTTATGTATTATACATGGAGATCATACCCCCCCCTTATGTATTATACATGGAGATCATATCCCCCCCTTATGTATTATACATGGAGATCATATCCCCCCTTATGTATTATACATGGAGATCATATCCCCCCCTTATGTATTATACATGGAGATCATATCCCCCCTTATGTATTATACATGGAGATCATATCCCCCCCCTTATGTATTATACATGGAGATCATATCCCCCCTTATGTATTATACATGGAGATCATATCCCCCCTTATGTATTATACATGGAGATCATATCCCCCCCCTTATGTATTATACATGGAGATCATATCCCCCCCCTTATGTATTATACATGGAGATCATATCCCCCCCTTATGTATTATACATGGAGATCATATCCCCCCTTATGTATTATACATGGAGATCATATCCCCCCTTATGTATTATACATGGAGATCATATCCCCCCCTTATGTATTATACATGGAGATCATATCCCCCCTTATGTATTATACATGGAGATCATATCCCCCCCTTATGTATTATACATGGAGATCATATCCCCCCTTATGTATTATACATGGAGATCATATCCCCCCTTATGTATTATACATGGAGATCATATCCCCCCTTATGTATTATACATGGAGATCATATCCCCCCTTATGTATTATACATGGAGATCATATCCCCCCTTATGTATTATACATGGAGATCATATCCCCCCTTATGTATTATACATGGAGATCATATCCCCCCCTTATGTATTATACATGGAGATCATATCCCCCCTTATGTATTATACATGGAGATCATATCCCCCCTTATGTATTATACATGGAGATCATATCCCCCCTTATGTATTATACATGGAGATCATATCCCCCCTTATGTATATTATACATGGAGATCATATCCCCCCTTATGTATTATACATGGAGATCATATCCCCCCTTATGTATTATACATGGAGATCATATCCCCCCTTATGTATTATACATGGAGATCATATCCCCCCCTTATGTATTATACATGGAGATCATATCCCCCCTTATGTATTATACATGGAGATCATATCCCCCCTTATGTATTATACATGGAGATCATATCCCCCCCTTATGTATTATACATGGAGATCATATCCCCCCCTTATGTATTATACATGGAGATCATATCCCCCCTTATGTATTATACATGGAGATCATATCCCCCCTTATGTATTATATACATGGAGATCATATCCCCCCTTATGTATTATACATGGAGATCATATCCCCCCTTATGTATTCATACATGGGATCATATCCCCCCTTATGTATTATACATGGAGATCATATCCCCCCTTATGTATTATACATGGAGATCATATCCCCCCTTATGTATTATACATGGAGATCATATCCCCCCTTATGTATTATACATGGAGATCATATCCCCCCCTTATGTATTATACATGGAGATCATATCCCCCCTTAATCTCCTCTTCTCAGTAGAGAATACATTCAGTTCCTCTAATCTTTCCTCATAGCTGATCTCCTCCATGCCTCGTATCAGTTTGGTTGCCCTTCTCTGTACTTCCATCCAGTTCCCCCCCTTTCTTTTTGTGAATTGGAGCCCAAAACTGAACTGCATATTCCAGATGAGGTCTTACTAATGATTTGTACCGGGGGGGGGGGTGGGGGGGGGGGGGATTGTGATATCCATTTTCTCATCTCTCTGGAGTCTATACCTCTCCTAATACAAGAGAGGATTTTGCTCGCTTTAGAACCCGCAGCTTGATTGCTGCATTGCATTGTGATCTACCAGAACCCCCAGATCTCCACCATTGACCCCCCCAGATCCTTCCCAGATCCACCATTGAGCCCCCCCCAGATCCTTCTCCACCATTGACCCCCCCAGATCCTTCTCCACCATTGACCCCCCCATATCCTTTCCCATTGACCCCCCACATGATCCTTCTCCACCATTGAGACCCCCCAGATCCTTCTCCACCATTGACCCCCCCCAGATCCTTCTCCACCATTGATCCCAGATCTCCACCATTTGCTCCACCCACCATTGACCCCCCAGATCCTTCTCCACCATTGACCCCCCCAGATCCTTCTCCACCATTGACCCCCCCAGATCCTTCTCCACCATTGACCCCCCCAGATCCTTCTCCACCATTGACCCCCCCAGATCCTTCTCCACCATTGACCCCCCACAGATCCTTCTCCACCATTGACCCCCCACAGATTATCTCTCCACCATTGACCCCCCACAGATTCTTCTCCACCATTAGACCCCCCATTCTTCTCCACCACTGTCACCCCCCTGTCAAACACCGCCTGGCAGTACCTCTAGCAGTCCACAGGACAGGATATCCCCAGAGCGCGGAGTCTAAGTCCCAGTCTGCTTGTTTCACATCATATCCCCCCTGATGGTGGGGATGGACTTGGAGCAGACAGTGACCAGGTCGTCGGCCCCTGAGTACACCTGCCCGTGGTAGAGGGATCCGCCAGAGGTATATGCAGGTAGAGAGCCTGACGTGAAGAGGTTGGAAGGCTGCAGGAGACGTGATGACTGGATCTGTGCAGGATGGATGGATGGCAGAGTAGTGAGCGTGGTCAGATGGGCCGGATCGGTAACAGTAGGGGTCAGCGTGGTACAAGGCAGCAGGCAAAGCGTAGTCGGGTCACTCGTCCCGGGTTCAGTAACAGGAGGTCAGCAATCAAATAGGGATATCCAGGAGAGAAGTCAAATGAGCCAGAGGTCAGACGGAGCAGGAGAAGTCGGCAGAGGTCAGAGCAGGAGAAGTCGGCAGAGGTCAGAGCAGGAGAAGTCGGCAGAGGTCAGAGCAGGAGAAGTCAGAGGTCAGAGCAGAGGTCAGAGCAGGAGAAGTCGGCAGAGGTCAGATCAGGAGAAGTCGGCAGAGGTCAGAGCAGGAGAATATCGGCCAGAGGTCAGAACAGGAGAAGTCGGCAGAGGTCAGGAGCAGGAGAAGTCGGCAGAGGTCAGGATCAGGAGAAGTCGGCAGAGGTCAGGATCAGGAAGTCGGCAAGTCGGCAGGAGTAAGCAGAGGTCAGGATCAGGAGAAGTCGGCAGAGGTCAGGATCAGGAGAAGTCGGCAGAGGTCAGGAACAGGAGAAGTCGGCAGAGGTCAGGATCAGGAGAAGTCGGCAGAGGTCAGGATCAGGAGAAGTCCCCGGCAGAGGTCACACTGGAGATCAGTCGGGGGGAGGTATCCAGAACCAGGAGATCAACCCCCCAGTGCAGAGGTCAGGATCAGGAGAAGTCCACACAGAGCGCCCCGCTCATGAGAAGTCGGCAGATGGTCAGGATCAGGAGAAGCCCAGCAGATGTAATATACAGGAGAAGTCGGCAGAGGTCAAGAGCAGGAAGTAATTAAACAGAGGTCAGGATCCCAGGAGAAGTCGGCGAGAGGTCATGGATCAGGAGAAGTCCCCAGAGG